TGCTTAGTTTTGGAGAAGCTATTGCCAAAAGCAAGAGATCACCTGAGAAGTTATTTGTGCTTTTGGACATGTATGAAATATTGCAAGAAATCCATTCAGAGGTATTTTCTTTTAAAATCCATTCAGAAAAAGCTTATAAACATTGCCAGACTCGATATTTTTTTGACCTTTGTTTCCATACGACTTCACTGTTTATTTTCACGACTAAGAGATATGTTTATTAAAATTCTATTGTTAGAGTCTAACTCATGGGGTAAATTGTAAAACTTTGCAAATTTGTTATGACAGTGTGAATTACATAAATCTTAATTCTCAATTAAAATTTTCATTTTAACTATATATATTATTGGTGTCTTTGGGTCCCATATTTTTGACATTAGACGTGTTATGTTATCTGTCAAATTTGGTGCTTCGTAATTTATGATTTTCTTTAACTTTATTCCCCATAGAGCAATATATATTTTCACGAAGGAATTTTCAAGAAATCCCGTAAGATTAGTGTGTCACACCCAATTCATCTATTTTCCTTCTAACACATAACAGATAGCTTTTTCCCCAACAAAATTGCCTAAATTGTACTCTAGTTCATTCATAACAAATTGGTTTATTGTTCTTCAATCAATAATTATGATTAATGTTTTGCTTCATCTCAAGTTTAGAAGAAAATAATTTCTCTCTTATTTAGTCTCTTACATACATGTGATTTATATATATATATATATATATATATAATACACATTAATTGGATAAATTTAGAAATAAGCACGGTCTATTCTAGGAAACACATCCCTAAGATTGTGTGATTGATATGCTAGTAATAAAATCAAGATGCAACCAATATACAAAATAAAAAACAATAGGAATCAAATCTAAAACTTCCTAAAATATCTCAACACACTCCCTCAAGTTGGTGAATAAGTGTTTTCTATTCGTAGTTTAGATATAATTCTCTCAAAAGTTAGTGCTATTCATCCCCTTGGTGAGTATGTGTTCAAACTGTCCTTGAGTAGACACATGGGGTGCAAATCAAGCTTTTCTTTGATAAATTTTCTGTCCACTTCAATGTGTTCAGTTCCATCGTGCTCTAGAGGGTTGTGAGCTATGCTGATTGCAGATTTATTGTCACAATATAACCCCATAAGTTCACTGCACTTTATCCTTGAAGTCTTCCAGTATAATCATTAGTCATAACAATTCACATATTCCTTAAGCCATTGCTTGAAATTCTGATTGCAGATTTATTGTCACAATATAACCCCATAAGTTCGTTGCACTTTATCTTTAAGTCTTCCAGTCATAACAATTCATATATTCCTTGAGCTATTGCTTGAAATTCTACTTCACTTCGGCATTAGATAAGGGGAGTAACAGTTCTATTGTTGTATGTGGATGATATAATTGTTACTGGAAATGATGAAAAAGAGAAATAAAGGTTGAACCAGTGCCTTGCCAAAGAGTTTGAAATCAAGACTTGACTCTTATACCATCTCAAATTTAGAAGAAAATAATTTCTCTCTTATTTAGTCCTGATACATACATCTGATATACATATATATATATATATATATATATATATACACACACACACACACACATACGTTAGTTGGATATATTTGGAAATAAGCATTGCCTATTCTGGGAAACAAATTCCTAAGATTGTGGGATAGATATGCTAGTAGTAAGTAATCAAATCAAGATACAACCAATATACAAAATTAAAAAAAATAGAATCAAATTTAAAACTTCCTAAATATCTCAACACTTCAATATAAACATAATAATTCCATGTTTCTCAGGACAATAAATTGGCACTTGGCTTGTCATCTGTTTTGTAGTTTTTCTTATAAAGTGCACCTTGAACCTAATTTAACTTCACAAATTTCTCTTGCTGGAGAATAGTAAGAAGAGCTAAACTTAATTAGGTTATTTTAAATAAGTAGCCCTTAACTGAAGTATCAAAACTGGAAGCCAGCAACTTGCAAATGGACCAACCACAACCTTCTAGCCTGTGTGCAACCCAGGGATTAAGGAGGTGTGCCTTGAGCCATTGACTGCCTTCATATTGTATTATTAAAACTGAAACCTGCATGTCCAAACCGTAAGGCCAGCAACCCTCTTCTCTGTTACTTTATTTTTGTCATTGTCAGTTAATTAGGTTTTGTTATTTGTTATTATTGAAAGGTTAACAGATCTGTGTACTTTTTGAACATATATGAACTGAAAATTGAGATGTCTATAACTTATATCGTTCAGAATGCATGGGCTATCTTATGTTATCTCTATGGTATGCTGTATTGTAAAGCTGGAACTTTATTATGGCTATGTATTCAAAATATTATCATGGTGTAAGGCAAACCCTTACTAGTTATGAGTCATATTTACTGCTCTTACTTGAGTTTACAGAAGCTTGAGTTTGTCACAACTAAATAATAATGTCCTTTTGAGTATATATGAAAAGCGGCTCACATGTGCTTTAAGGGATGGAATTTAGTTTATTATCTGTCAAAGTTAGTCTCTTTCTAGGTTTTACTCCCAGCAATTTTCTTCAACCTGTTATACTATTTAGCCTCAACCATGGTAGTTATGGTGTCTATTCCAAGATCTCTGATATATATTTTGTGTTCAGCTCATGCAATGTAGGTTTTTACGGCTGTTATGTGGTTAGGAGGCATAGTTCAATGGTTATAACATATTATCAACCTTTTCTATGGACAAATTTACAGATTGAAATACTCTTTAAAGGAAGAGCTTGCTCCAAAATAAGAGAAGCTGTACTGGGTTTGACAAAACAGCTTGCACGAACAGCCCAGGAGACCTTTGGAGATTTTGAAGAAGCAGTTGAAAAAGATGCTACAAAGACTGCAGTAACTGATGGAACTGTCCATCCTTTGACAAGCTATGTGATTAACTATGTGAAGTTTTTATTTGAGTAAGTTCACATATGCTGCATTCTGCTTCAAATTCTCTAGCATATTCTTGAAATTGTGTCATTTTATATTGTTTTCATGGGGAGAAAGCTACATCTACATTTCCTAAGGATTTGTAGAATTTATTTTAGGTTTTCTTAATCTTTTTGTGGATACAGCACAGCTTTCTTCAATTTCTTTTGCTACTTTTTTTCATTTGTTTTATTTATTTTTTTGTACGGTACACTAAAAATTAGTTATTCACTTAAGGGTGTTGGTTCATGAGTCCGAAAACACCTTTTTCTGGAGTTAATAACATTTTGCTAGTTGGAAGTATAAAAAAAATGTGTTTTGGTAATTGGTACAGGTTTGGGGAAAGATTTAGCTTGCATGTGCTAGAAAGATGGTTCCTTGAATGTATATCATTAATAATTTTATGTATGGTCTCCTGCAAGAATAAGCAGGGAGATACTGAATTTGCATCAAATTTCACTATGCTGACAAGACCATTTGTGACTGTGAAGGGTACTATGCTGCAGTATACCTGTACTTTCACTAATTTGTTGTGTTCAACTATGTCTGATCTTTACCAAATCATCCTGTTGATTTTTCTTTTGTACTAGTTTTAGTTTTGTTTTCCAAACCTATTGATGCTCAAGTGCAGGAATTGGGATGGGAAATCTCATGCTTTTAATTCTAAGTTAAGTGAAATTACATATCAACCATTCAATTTCTCACACTTTATGTGAGGATAATGCTTAAAATACTTTCCTCCTTTTTAGTGTGATTGTAAATAATGCCTCTATCTATACTTGAGATCTTGGAATATTTAACCATACTCAAATTCACTAAATATTTGCAGCTATCGATCTACCTTAAACCAACTTTTCCAAGGGATTGAAGGTGAAAGTGATTCTTCACAGCTAGCTTCTGTGACCATGAGAATATTGCAAGCTCTTCAAACCAATTTAGATGGGAAATCTAAGCAATATAGAGACCCTGCTTTGACACACCTATTTCTCATGAACAATATTCATTATATTGTCAGATCAGTTCGAAGGTATATCATCCAAATGTCCTTTATAATTTCACTTAAACATGAGAATTTTACTGCATCTTCTGTCATTTCAAAATTGTTGTTCTCTTAATTCTTTTCTAATTTAGGTCTGAAGCGAAGGATTTGATGGGGGATGATTGGATACAACGACATAGGAAAATTGTGCAACAGCATGCTAATCAATACAAAAGAAATGCTTGGGCAAAGGTGATTTTATTATTGATTGAGATGACCACTTTATGCCTTGCAGTTGCAACTATCATGGATGCTACCTCAGTTTTTTGTTATATCCAAGGATTATTATTATGAAAGGAAGAAAGTAGTGAGGGGTTCATTCTTTAGTAGATTTAAATATATTAAATTATAGGAAAGAGGGAGAAAATGAGCTGAAACTATATGTTTCTTAGGTAACATTAATTCTTTATTTATAATGTGAAAATGGATTCAATATAATAGAGAGAAGATTCAATATCCTCTAATAATAAAAATATGATAGGAAAATAAATGAAAACGTTCCTAATAATAAACTAAAGAAATATGTACTGAGTTTATTGGGTCAAACGATCAACTCGTAGATGTATTGACCAAGTCATTAAGGGGTCATCGGATTGAGTTTATTTGTTCCAAGCTTGGTACATACAATTTGTATGTTCTAGCTTGAGGGGGAGTGTTAGAATATTTATCCTATTTTATCATCATTATATTGTGTCAAGGGTTATCCTATTTATCATGATTATATTGTGTCTAGGGTAATCCTATTTATCATGATTATATTGTGTCTAGGGTTACCCTATTTATGATGTACTTTTGTATCAATTTATTCTTATAAATAGAAGAGTATGAGAGGGATCAATTAAGCCCTCTAGAATTGTTTTACAGTTTAATTCTCAAGTTGGTATCAGAGCGGGTCGATCCCGCTCTAGTTTATGTCTCGTAATATCTGTCCGGCGCCACAGTCCGTCGTCACCGGCCATCGTCGTCCGTCGCCAGCCACCGTCGTCCATCGCTGTCACAATCTCGTTCGTCTAAACCCTTAGGGTTTTCTTGTTCCTCGCTGGTACTATTCGTCTTCTTCAGAAATGGCGTCTGGCAGTACTCTTTCCTTCTCCGGAAGTCCATCAATTACCTTCGACAAGCTAAATGGAAAAAATGATCTATCATGGTCTGCTGCCGATGAAATGTGGTTCCTTGGCCAAGGGCATTATGACCACCTTGAGCGAGATGGAAGCCATGTGCCTACTGAAAAAGCTGATCAGTGGAAACAAGCAGATTTCCAGTTTTGTGCTTGTTATGGCAATCTGTGGAACCCAAATCTTGTATCTTTGAGGGCTTTCAAAACTTGTCACTCCTTTTGGAAGAAAGCCCAAAGCATTTATGCCAACGATATTCAACGTCTCCATGACACTACGAACAAGCTTGCATCTCTTAAAATGGCAGACCATGATATGGTGTCCTTCATGGCTGAAGCCCAATCTGCTGTCGAAGAACTCAGGATGTTTTTGGAAGCGGACCCATTAAAGGATATAAAAAAGAAACTAGACAAATTTTACATGGTGTTGATCCTTCGTGCCCTACATCCCGATTTTGATCATCTCAAAGATCAACTTCTAACTAGTCATGAGGTCCCCTCCATGGAAACATTGACCACTCGCTTTCTGCGTGTCTCGGTACCTCAAACTCAAGAAGCGCATGAACTAGTGGAACCATCTGTCATGGTTGCCACAGGAGGAAGAGGAGGACGTGGCACTAGAGGAGGAGGACGGGGAGGTCGGGGACGTCCTCAATGCACATACTGTAAAAGGATGGGTCATACTCAAGAGAATTGCTACTCCTTATATGGTTTTCCTTCCAAAACTGTCAATATTTTGAAGACTGAAACTTCCACTTCTATGTTTTCTGAGGATGAATATCAAGAGTATTTAAGGTTAAAGTCTAACAGCTTGACACAACCATCTCAATCTCCCAGTACATCAACAACCTGCGTTTCTCAATCTATGGAAGGTCAAAATTCATGGGTAATTGACTCAGGTGCTTCTGATCACATTTCTGGTAATACCTCTTTGTTCTCATCTATTTCCTTTCGAGAAAAACCTCATTTCATAACCCTTGCAAATGGATCTAAAACTTCCTCCAAAGGAGTCGGTCATGTTTCTTTGTCTCCCTCCCTCAATCTCAACTCAGTCCTTTTTGTCCCTAATTATCCTTTTAATTTAATTTCCCTAAGCCAGTTGACCAAAATGTTAAATTGTTCAATAACCTTTGATCATAAATCTTTTGTTATACAGGAGCGTGGTTCGGGAAAACAAATTGGAGAAGGATATGAAGCTGGCGGATTATACCATTTTGGATCTCGTCCAAGGGTGTCCAGTGTTGCTGCTCCTAATCCTAAAGTGCTACATGATCGACTTGGCCATCCTCATTTGTCCAAATTAAAAAAGATGTGTCCTGAACTTAGTGGTCTCCAAACTTTAGAATGTGAGTCATGTCAATTAGGAAAACATGTTAGATCTTCCTTTCCTAAAAGGTCTCAATCAATATGTAATTCTAGTTTTTCCATCATCCATTCTGATATATGGGGACCTAGTCGTATCTCCTCCTTTGGTTTTAGATATTTTGTTACCTTTATTGATGAATATTCAAGATGTACTTGGGTTTATCTTATGAAAAATCGTTCTGAATTGTTAG